AAATAATTGACTTATTTATTATTTAATAACAAAAAAACCATTACTTAACAATTACATATCTAGTTAATAATAAGATATATCAACTTTTTTTAAAATGAAAAAACTAATTTGGAGTAAAATCAATAAACATTAGAGACCAAATTAGGGTTTTTTAAATTTAGAAATCAAATTAGAGATCCTACCATAGTTGAGGGAGCAAGGTTTAACCTTTTGGTTTTTTTAAGAAATCTAGATATGATTGTTTAATGGACTGTGGGATGGGAACAATAGTTTTGTGTGTAGAGTCAAGTGTACTTGATTGTGTCTCGGAAGCCGTGGGTGGGGGGTGGGTTGGGGGTGACTGGAACGGCAAGTCAATATGGAAAACAAGCTGCAGCTACTTTAAGCCTAAGGAAAGCAGAACCTCTGGGCGTTTCAGGTGGGTTGGGTTAAACTTCGGCCATCTACCCTGGGGCGGGTTAGCTCCAACGGTTTTTAAATTTTGCTTCATGAATGGGTTTCAGACTTTCAGTTCAAAATACCATATGGTTACATATATAAACAAAGATAACAAATACTAAGAGAAGTGTTACTCTTTTTTTTTTTTAACTAATCTCTAATATTTAAAAATCACATTAGACTTATAAAAAAAAAACCTTTCATAGTGTTTATTTTTAAACTCAAATTTGAATTATTATTTAAAGATGATTAAATTGTTTTCATTTAAATTAAAAAATCATTAGTTGCAAATTAAGCATTTAAATGACTCAATAATACGATATAATCGGAATTTAAATGACTCAATAATATGATATAATAAAGTAAAAGATTATAAGTTTAACTCATATGATATATAAATAAGATAAATTATAAGATGAGAAAAAGATGTCTATTATTATTATTATTATTATTACACAATACCAATTAATTTTTAAAAAAATAACCAAAAAGAAGAAGAAGAAGAGGAAGCCCAACAACCTGTTGGTCATGGGCAAATTAATTTTCTCGATCTGAAAGTCTATTGAGTTCTCTCTTCTTTTTTTCAATCTGGTGGAGAATAGACCTAATCTGTTATTAGTCTTTTTAGCCATCCTGAATGTTTAAAATGAATCTGGTGTAGCTCTTATTGTCTACATTTCCATACTGGTACTGGAGCAGTAGTCAAAATATAATGATGATTTGGAAATTCTCTCTGGGAAATTAAGTTTTCTTCTCATGATTGAAGTTGATAAACTAAAGATACATGTATTCTAAGAAGCTCTATTTCTCCTTTTTTTTTTTTAATTCATATTTTTATTACTATATATATGGATGATCATTTTCAAAAATGTCTTTCTGCTATATGCACAACTTGAAATCCTTCGTAATGATCAAGTTTGATTATACTTTAGTCTGTTGAAACATGGATGACTAAGAGTGATGCTGGATAACATCCTAAGGGTGACATATTTTTCTAAAGTTTAAAAGTGTTTTTGGATTAATAATACAAGATGAACTTGCCCAATAATTATGGGATATTTTTCTGAAGTTTACTTCTGATTGTCTGATATTATTCTTATTATTATTTTTGGAATTGTTAGTTTTTCCTAGTTGCTTCTCTTATGGAATTATTCTTTGACTTTAAGTTGATAGGGGAGGCTTCTTGCTAAGCCGGGTGATAATGCTGCTGCTTCCAATGTATACCAGAAAATAGCAGAATTATGGTAAATTTATGTTGAAATCTCACTTCAGTTTTGATGGCAACAAAAGAGCATTTTGTAGGTGTTATTGTACTTTAATTTATTTTGGAATATACTATCTCTGATTGTTAACACTGTCTCTTTGAACTGCCGGCCCTGATGATTGGGAGGCTTTCCTAAATTTCCAGGCTGCTTGCTTGGATTACAGCAGCTGGAAAAATGAAGCCATTACTGATTTCATCCATCAAAATTTTTGAAGTGCAACTTTTTGGCATTTGACAGATGAAGCTGAAGTTTGGTTGACTGTGTTGTGGACCTGGTCTGTTATTCAAAACCATACCCTTAAAAGAAGACCAATGCATATGGTAATGGAGCGTTTCTCTGTTTATATGTCACAGAACATTTTGGTCTTTGACACAGGTTGGGTCACTTGGCTTACTTTACCCCTGACATTAGTTCAGTTCTGCATGTATTATCTTCAGAGAAAAATACAGATTTCTGGGAGAAAGTTAATGAAAAGCTCAATCTCCCTTTCATCACTGCCAAGTAAATAGCTAGGGCAGTCAGTAACAGTTTTTAAAATTCAAGAATTGATCGGAAACATGTACAAGTTATCTGTGAAAGATGTTTTTCTTGTTTAACCATGCTTAAAAAGAAAATAGCATGCTTATTATGTCTTCATTTTCTTGAAGATTTCTATGGTATCTTTGTTCCATTATTTTTCTTAAACTGTCCACTAGTATCTGTTGCACTAATTTCTTTCTATTCCCAGAACTTGAGGACTTTGCCATTCAAGCGGTAGAGTTGTACCGCAGAAACCTTCCACTTTCCAAGGTTTAAGATCCACAACAGAATATGCATGGTGAAGAACTGCTATCAATATTCTGCAATATATTAATTCAGGTAGCTCATTGTATTCAGTTGGAATACATGCTTTTTTACATACTTTGCTTACTGAACTATATTGTATCTTTAAGTTGATTTACATTTCTTTTTCTGATTTAGTTATTCTGGCATACAAGACATGTTGGCTATTTTGTTAAGGCAGTTATGGTCTTGGAGTTTGGTTTAACCATCCGAAGGTCAGAAAAAAATGTTTCCAAGTGGACGATCAATTAATTATGGTCCTTGAATGAGAACCACAAAAATTGATGCAAGGATGTCATATGGTGTTTAGGTCATTACTTGGCAAATATATAACCAAAACTTTTGGCTAAATTGACAATTTTTTAGATAGTATCTGTTGTGCTTATGTTTTGCAGATATGTTTGGTGTGGCACTACAGATAGTATCTGCACTAATATTTGCACTTCGCCGCCGTTCCATTGGCATATGATTGAATGGTAAGTAACTAAAAATAAAATATCATGTCAATGATGAAAAAACATGTTTTTGTTCCAAACTTGCAATCGTGCAAAACACTTTATGTTTGCTATAACAGTCACTTTTCTCCTTTCAGGTATAAATCTTTGGATGCTAAGAATATCTTGCTGGAAACAGTTTCACACCATATATTATTGCCTTAATTGCTGGTGTTTCCCCTCTGGGCAGATTTAAATATCCTTCTAAAGGATCCTTACCTAGAGTTTATGGATGATCACTTCAGAGAATCAGCAGTTCTGACATTTCTTGCATATCATCTCAGCAACTATTCAAAAGTATGTATCACTTGCCTTTCTAGATATCTCTTTAATGCCTGTCTTCTTCCTTAAGTCACTTTTATCCATTCCCACATCAAATTTGTTTGCTTGCTCAGGCTTGTGCTGATTGCTTTGTGGAAAAGCTCTTCAGGTGTGTGTGCATATAGATTCTAAAAGTTTTAAGATTAAGCTTTTACCTTGATAAAATGAAAATATGCATTAGAATCCATCTGCAAGTTGATTACATGAATCAAGACATTTTCTATGAACTTGGTGTTTCAGGTAATTGAATTTATGCAACTTAAAGAACGGTTGAAACACTCTGATCAATATTTAATGGCAAAGGTTGCAGGACTCATTTTACAGCTAAAGCAGAACAGAGATAAGATTGAAGAAAAGGAGGTAAGTGATCAATAACACTCAAGCAATAAACACCTGTGCTGATTCAATAATTTTTAGAATGTTAGTATCATTCTTCTAGCACATATATACTTGAGAAGTTGAAGTGTGGGATATCCACTTTGTTGAGCTCTCTAATGAGATTCGGTCCTACCCACTTAGCTTCAATGAAGATTTTCAGTCACATCTTGGTGGACACCAACTTCAGAGAAAAATTATCTTTTAGATCAGTTTAACATGCCTCCCTCTCAACTTCCCTTCTGTCTTTTTGTCCACAATAATTGGATCATATTGAAACTGTCACTTTTCAGGTCCATATCGAAACTGTCCTTGGTGGACAGGAAAAAGAGTAAATGGGCAGGGGACTCTACCCTTTGAGTTTCTTGGCATCTGTGAATCAAAAATTAAATCACCACAGGCATTGAAACAGCAGATTGGTCATGCCTGAGGACAGACCAGTGCCATTGAAACCATATTTGCAAATGTCATATTAGTTCAGTTTGACATTCATGCTTGTTTCTTTACAAGCATTAGGCCTAATTAACCAATACTTTATTAAACGTTATATCAGTTCAGTTTGACATTCATACCCTTGGCAAATCCAATACTTTGCATGGTGGCAAAGCAGGCAGCAGATGAGAATGGAAGGCTTCAATTCTTTTATAAACAGTTTGGTTTTTTCCCAGAAAGTCAAACAGTTTTGTTATAGAATGTTTATTCCAAACAAACCAGCATCACATATTTTTCACTTCAGGTAATGTTTTTAAAGTCTTTCCAGCATCCAAGTCTATGGTTTACTATTGTGATGTTCCGGTAGTTGATCTGATATCATAGGAATAATTTCTAGAAGAGGTGTGATCTGCATTGTGTTTGTCAAAGGTATGATGTGTGTTGCTTGTATAAAATTAAAAACAGGCAGCAGAATTCCTACGGGGCGGTGGGTGTTTTGGTTTCCAGTTCCACTTTTGATATATATATTTTTTTTTCTTCCAAACCAAATGAATGTGCATGCATTTATTTGTGTTATAAGTCAGAAGATGATTACGTAATTCTATAATAGGGCATTAAACTGTCTTGTTTTTTTTTCTGATGTTTGGGTTTAAAGTGTGTTATTGGGAAATAAACCTGTCATACTCATAACCTCTTCATTTCAATAATAATCACCTAACTCACGACAATGTTTCAGTTTGTTAGAATCATTGCTTTCAATATTAAAGGGATATGATATGACATTGCTTTGAATTCATTATCTCCACGACATGACTTGAAAACTTGTGATTGAAAAACATCAAAGTTAAAAAGTTGGTTTCTTGAGAAATACTTCTTGTTAAATTGGCCGCAGAATTGGACATTTGTACGTATATAGCAAAGAGGGATAAAAACAAACTCTTCTTCCACTACCAAACCCAAACCAAACCAAATATTTCAACCTCACTAAAAGCTGTCCAAGCATCTTCACCCTAAACAATTAAATAAATCACCTAGATTTCATAATAATTTGAATGCGGCATTTGAAATTTAAGATAATTTATTAGGCATAGGATAAGAAGAAAGAAGATGAACAACTTGTTGGTCTAATTTATTAGGCATAGAATAAGAAGAAAGAATATCAATAACTTGTTAATTTAAATAGAAAGAGTTTGGTTAACTTTAAGTACAATGTCAAATTTGAGTTTTATAAATAAAAAAATATACATTAAGAGAGTTTTTCTCCTTATGAGATCTATCGTAACTTCATTTCAGATTACTCGGAATATCATAGAACTTTCAGATATTGAGGGTTTAACACAAAAAATAAATAAATAAAAAGAAAGATAAGTTCAACCTGCTCCAGAAACCATGATGCATGATAATCTGCCATAGTTAAAACTTAAAAAAGTCTCCTCTCTGGTTGGTGCACCAAGTCCTCATTCCCTTCATAAAGTAATGACAGTTTAAGTCTTCATCTTGACTTGAAACCTAATTTGCCATAAAACATTTTCCTTTTTTTAATTTCAAGTTGTAAAGAGTTCCCTATTTTCCCATTATAAATAGCTGCTCCCTGATCACCTAGTTCCAAACCACACAAAGTTACTTGTTTCCAAAGCAATGGAGCCTCACGGCCTTACTGCCAAGTCTTTATTAGGCATCCTTTTACTCTCTGCCTTCTTAACTTGCTTTGCCAACGCGGAAATTCATTACCATGAATTTGTTGTATGGTTTCTTCGCTTTCATTTGTTTCTAAAAGATTTTATTTATATTTTTCCAAAGCTGATTCTAGTCTAAACAAAGTGACTTTGTGCTGGTTGCTGAATTGAGTTGGATAATTTTATGTATCCTGTTTCTTTGGAACAGATTGAAGCGACACCAGTGAAGAGGCTGTGCAAAACCCATGAGAGAGTCACAGTAAATGGTCAATTTCCAGGACCAACATTGGAAGTGAGAGACGGGGATTCTCTCGTGATCACAGCTATAAACAAAGCTATATACAATGTCACCTTGCACTGGTAATGTCAACACTTTTGCCAAAAAGATTACTGAAACTTTATCAGTTTTTGATATCAAAATCAATTGCTTGCATTCCCTTGATCAGGCATGGAATCAGACAACTCCGGAACCCATGGGCAGATGGTCCAGAATACATAACGCAATGCCCTATCAGACCCGGAATGTCTTACACATACCGTTTCACCATCCAGGACCAAGAAGGGACTCTTTGGTGGCATGCTCATAGTAAATGGCTTAGAGCCACAGTTTATGGAGCTATCATTATCTACCCCAAATTAGGCTCCCCATACCCATTCCCCATGCCCAAAAAGGAAATACCTATTCTTCTCGGTAACTTCTATTTTTTGTTGGGGAAACATTTTTTCTTCAAAGCAATTGTTGTAAATACACGAGTAAATGGCCTGAATCAATGAATTTTGATGGTGAGTAACAGGAGAATGGTGGAACAGAAACCCAATGGATGTTCTGAAGCTGGCAACGTTCACAGGAGCAGGTCCTAATTTATCAGATGCCTATACAATCAATGGACAACCAGGGGACTTGTATATATGCTCCAACAATGGTATATCTGAGCTCTCCAACTTCCAATTCCTAAGAAAACCTTAATCAAAACGTGTTTTCTATATCAAAATTGTAACCTTGTCATGCAGAAACGATGAGATTTCAAGTGGAATCCGGTGAGACAATTCTGCTGAGGATCATAAACTCCGCTTTGAATCAAGAACTCTTCTTTGGGGTGGCTAATCACAATATGACTGTTGTGGCGGTAGATGCTGCTTACACCAAGCCTTTCACCACCAATGTTATCAAGATAGGTCCAGGTCAGACAACCAACGTCCTTCTCACAGCCAATCAGCCTCCAGCTCAATACTACATGGCGGCACACGCCTATAACTCTGCCAGTGCACCGTTTGACAATACCACCACCACTGCCATCCTTGAATACAATTGCACAACAAAAAGAAACTCTTCAAAACCAATCTTCCCGCAGCTACCAGGGTTCAATGATACAGCGACAGCAACAGCATTCACTGCACAACTAAGAAGCCCTTCCAAGGTTGATGTTCCAGTCTATATTGACGACAACTTGTTTATAACAGTAGGGTTAGGGCTGATCAGCTGCTCAAATCCGAACAGCCCCCGGTGTCAGGGTCCAAATGGGACCCGATTTGCAGCCAGCATGAACAATGTCTCCTTCGTGTTCCCAACAAGTAACTCTTTAATGCAAGCGTACTACCAAGGCCAACCTGGTGTCTTCACCACAGACTTTCCTCCAGTTCCTCCCATCCAATTTGATTATACTGGCAACGTTAGCCGCGGCCTCTGGCAACCTGTTAAAGGAACTAAGCTGTACAAGTTGAAGTTTGGTTCCAAGGTACAAGTTGTGTTCCAAGACACAAGCATTGTCAGTGTTGAAGATCATCCCATGCATATTCATGGATACCAGTTCTATGTGGTTGGAAGTGGGTTTGGAAACTTTAACCCAAGAACAGATCCAGCCAAATTCAACCTCATCAATCCACCTGTTAGGAACACCATTGGAAGTAATCCTGGTGGATGGGTAGCCATCAGATTTGTTGCTGATAATCCAGGTAATGTACATAACCAAAAAAAAAAAATCTAAAAATAAACACAATTTTGCTATTCTGTATATAAACTGATGTTTTTGATTAACTGACCTGCACAAAAACAGGAATCTGGCTGGTGCACTGTCACATAGATGCTCACCTGACTTGGGGCTTGGCCATGGCTTTCCTGGTTGAGAATGGAGTTGGGGAATTGCAGACAGTGCAGCCTCCACCACTGGATCTGCCACAGTGTTGACTTGAGACTACATCATCGATTCACTGGCCATTCAAGTCTGAAAATCTTAGTCTAAACATATGCTGTTTTATTCCAGTCCTTAGACAATTAGGAATTTCTTTGGATGAATTTAGTGTATTATTTTCAGATTAAAAGAATGAGATTTCAAATAATAAAAGAACCATCTTTTTATAGGATTCAGGAAAGACTCTATCATTAACCATTTATGATTTAACACCAATCCATGTACACTGCAACAGAAAGCAAAGCAATGTTGTCAAACATGCTACAAGCTAGGAGAACTTGAAAACTTCTACGGCTACTCCTTATGGCTCTTATCTCTGCTTTTTGCATTTTAGACAATAATCTCTAACAACTTAGACAACAAATTTTAGACACCGAGTATCATTTTGTATGTTTTGACACCGTCACAAACAACATCGCAGTCCACATGTGACACGGGTATAGTTCGAAGTAAAGCCACAAACACTGCAGGAATGGTGATGGAATGTAGAACTTGGAAGTCCAACAGCTGCCCCTCAAGTAGAATGGAACATGTGGAAGCAAGGATTCAAAGTTTGCCAATTTCCATTACAGGAATACTTACATTAGCTAGTGAGGTATATTAAATCAAATGGAGTGGAAACACAATTATCCATTTTTAACCTCATATAAGAGCTCAAGGAAGGTTCTCATGGCCTTTCCCGCAGTCAATCAAGAAACATTGACAAAGTAAACAGAACATAACAAATTCTGAGGCATTTAAAGAGAAATTTTTAAGAACTTTGACACTAACAACAACTCCAATTGAAATCACCCTGCCCTTTTTTGAATGCCTGTCCGAATCAAATTTCATCTTGCACTATTTTGGACGGTAGAACCCCCACATCTGCCTCTCAAATATGAGGATAAGGACAAATCCATCCCTTAAAAAAAAAAAGAACAAATTACCCCTTTAAATCATCGATCAAGACAAATTACTCATTATTTAACATTATTTAACATGTAACATGTCATAAATCTATGTGCCACCTAAGCATGTTTTTAATGGAAAGCTGACATAGAATGATGTCACATGTTAAATAATAAGTTATTTGTTTTGATAGACGATCTGGAGGGATAATTTGTCCTTACATTTTTTTTTTTTTTTGGGGGGCGGGTACATCCTTAGCCTCCTATTTTGGGGTGGATTTGTGGGTTTGGCCATTTTGAACAGTTAGACAAATACTTGTTCTTCACCAATCAAAACTCCCAATCAAATGTTGTTGATAAATTAGGTATAAGAAACTTCTATTGGAAAAAATTCCCAGATCAAGACAGATAAATATAAAAAAAAGGTAAAAAGTTCAACCTTGATCATCATCCACAAGAGAAGCCTCATTATCATCTTAATTTCCACCGTTTCAATACCCCACATTACCATTCTCCAAAGCTTCAAGCCGAACTAGGGCTACCTAACACAACCAACTTCCCAACTCTAAATTCACAATCTTCCATGATTTTAAGATATAAAAAGAAACACACACACACACAAAAGATGAATAAATACCTGCGTTTGCTCGACATCCTCCATAAAGGGCTTGAACTGTCATCATCCATGGCTACAAAGTACCAACTTTTAATCCAAACATGGAGGAAAACTGAACTTCAACCACAATTTGAGCTATGAATGAAAAATCAAAACAAACAGGTTAATAAATACTCCAAAAAAAATAAAGATTTTCCTTTTCTGACTTGGGTAACAATTTAATCGAACATAGATATCAATATTTATGAGAAACTAACCAGAATGAAAGTGACGACCGGCCAAGAAACCAACCAGACCCTGTAGAGAAGATGAAGACGTACAGTGGCAATTCTGTTAACAATCACACTGGCCTTAGATATTGAAGAGGCCCAGATTCAAGGCCATAATCAGAAAGGTCCAAACCCAAGCCAGTAACCAGGCCCAATTAATCACATGCATTACCCTCCTTCTTTTTTTCTTTTCTTTTTTTTATGGGAACATGCATTTGATTTGCATACATAATTAGTACATAGAAATACAATTATAGAAAGCAAAAATTGTTTTCAATTGCAATTTCAAACTGTACAAAGAGTGGAGTGTATAGTCCTATTTTTTACATTAAGGGACAATTTTCTTCCATTACTTAATTAACTTACATCTCATATATACCTGCTGAATCCACAATTAATCTTTAATTTAATCACTTGTTCACTTATGTGATTTTATTTTTTTACATTAATTAAATTTTAAGCTACATACATTTTGAGAACAAATGTTGCAAAAAATTGTCGCTGGAGATGTGTGTCGCTGGCCCTTGCCATCTCAGAATTTGTTGTTGCACCACCAGCACCGAGGCTGAGCCACCGAAATCGGCCGACGCAATATAATCTCCTAAGACCCCTAGTTCCTCTTGATTCTGACTCCAATCTGATAGCCCTTCCAAAAGCACTGGATTGATCCCCTGTTTCCTCCCCATTATCCAAAGATCACAACTCCCATCATTCATTGCCTGAATCGCCGCCAGCGTTTCCTCTCCGTTCTTCACCACCACTTCCCTGTATACCATCCTTTCATTTCCCTCGTTCTTGACCCAAAACCATGTTACCACCCCGTCATCTAGTTTCTTCTCCATCTCATTATCACCTTCACTGTTGTAGGATAAGAACCGCACTACTGTGAGGCACACGTCAGGGTTGACAACCATCCGATCAGCATATGCCAGAGCTTCCCGAGCATCGGCTCCTCCCATGAACAACACTACAAAACTATATAGAGACCCTCGGAATGATCGAGCCAAGAGGGGATTGCGGAGATATGCCTTGTCTACGAAGATGCCTATGGAACAAGGAGCGTGAGCTAAGACGTTCAAGTTCATGGACTTCACCCCTCCACGCATCAGCTCAGTTGTAGAGGCAATGTCCTCAACGCGCTCTTTATAAAATGGTAAAATAATTAATACTGCTTTCTTGGCCATGGCAAGCTTACATAGGTCTTGATACATGGTCCTCTTAGGAGTCCAGGCGGTGTAGGAATGTAATTTTAGGAGTTCACCCTTGTTGTTTTGGTACAGCTTTAAGGCATTATGGATAGTTTCATAATTTCCATACTTGGAGGGCTCCTTCTGTTGGTCGTGGTCAATGACGATAGGGGCGGCACGGCCAATGAGCTCAATGAGGTGGAGGGCGAAGACGGTGAAAGGGCTGTTGAGAGTGGGGTGGGAGTAATCAAGGAGGTTGATTAGGCCAGGGAGGGTTTCTTGGTCATGGACGCAGAGAACTATCCGGAGCTCTGTGTCGGGTGGGGTGTGCTGAATTGTTCTCCTCTTGTGCACCATGTACGGCTTGGTGGGATCGTATAACAGGGTGATCAAAGGCGAAACTATTGCAGTCATGGCCGTCGTCACCAAAACCATCATTGTGTAAGTATCTACCTTTGCAACCTGTGAATTAAAATGTTGAAAAATACATACTAATTAATTAATTAATTAATTAATTAAAAAAATATAGGTACTACTTACGTACAAAATATCGGAAAAAATAAATTAATTAATATAATAGTAATTAATTACTCCACCTACCTCCACATAATTGTTATCTTTTTTAAATTAAAGATTTATGAACAATATTTATAATAAAATAAATGACAAATAAATTTATAATTAAATAATTGATTAAAGTAAGTAAATAATAATAAAATTAAAATAAAAAATATTTATTTAATTTAAAAAATAAAAAAATAATAATTAATTTAGATGAAATTTAAAATTAAAAAAACTAACAATTATTTTTTAATCAAAGAGCAAGTTAATAAATTATTATACGTACTCGTACGCACCTTTTTGTCTAACCAGTGGACGTACAAAATAAACTCAATTTGACCCCTCAAGCTCATTATGAGGCCGAGGGTGAGGCTATCTTTGAAAGTGAGGTTAAAGAGAAGGCCAGCGGTGGTAACTACAACAAACTTAGCCAACCACCCCGTAACCGTGATGATGAACAACGGCAACAAGTTCTCCCAATCGCCGGCTACCATGGCGAAAACATCCGTGTACAGCCCCACCAACGCAAACGAAAATGGCATTATAAGTTCCATCACTATTGTCTCCGACCTCTCCACCAGGGTGGCTCCCAAAGGCGGCCCGTCAGGTATCACCAGCCCCAACCAAAACGGCCCGTTAGCAACTGCAATCCCAAACATGTCCGTTAAAAATGCAGAAGCAAATGCTCCTGTTAAAATAATAATGACGTAGATTTGATCCACCGGCTCTCCCTCCGGTGTTCTTTTAACGATCCACACCATTGCTCGTTTGACCGCCGTGAACAAGAAGAGTAGCAAAATTGCTAGGGATATCAGGTACCATAGAGTATTCATAGCCGCCACTTCCCCTTGTTTCACCGCTTCAAACATGACGATGCTGCCTATCCCGAGTACGTCGCCGATCAATGCAACCGCCAGGGCTAAACGGCCCACCTCCGAGCTAAGGAGGTTTAATTCTCTAAGAATTGGGTAGAGGACTGGAAATCCAGTCATTGACGCCGTGGCAGAAAATGTTATGATAGAGGAAGACATGGAAAGCTGTTCGTCCAACATGGTGCTCCGGATGCTGAATCCCACAATACACGCTACAAGACTCGGAATGGTTATTCCCAAAAGGGCAATGCCATACTGTTTCTTACCCGAGTTTTTCATCAAACTCAAATCCATTTTCAACCCATTCACAAACAGGTAAAGCATGAAACCCATAATCCCAACGTTTTTCAAGACGAAATTGGCATTTTCAGGGAATATATACTTCTTGAACTCCTTGCTCCGCCCCAGAACCGAAGGTCCGATGATTATTCCACCCTTAATTAAAAGTTGCATTCCATTAAAGAAATTAATTAACACAGTACCATATATATATATATACTACGTAGCTCAAGCTAACTAGATATATCATATCGATGATATTTAATTAAAATATACAAGTTACTTACAATGATCTCGGAAACGATCCTAGGTTGTTTCAGAGGGCGGAGAAGGATTCGAAGAATCTGGGTGACGGTGATGACAAAGAATATCTCAAATATGATGACGTCGAAGGAGAATTCGAGAGGGTTTTCCCCGTAGAAAACACCAACAGAGTGATCTTCGTGTGTTCTCTTACATAACAACGGAAACTTTGGGGCGGCTGTGGCTTGGGTGAACCCCTTACTAACCTTTTCAGTTTGAAGGTCCACCGTCGTTGTCATCGTCTGAAGGCCTTGCGGTTGGGCTCGCCACCCATCGGCCGTCAGTGAGTGAACTGGAAAAAGTCTAACCATGCATGCAAAAATTAAATTACGACCGTATGTATAATGCGAATCAATTAAGAGAAATTCCTTTGTTCTTTCTTTACAAAAGGGAGTTAAAATTAACTTGGTTCCTTTCTACAGAAATGACATTTCAGGTTGCTAGCTAGAGACACTGGAGATGAATGGAGTCAGGAAAGCAAATTAAAGGGACGACCATTAATTTCCTTCACCATCCATTATTAAGAAGAGCAAAAGAGAAATCCTAAAAATTGAGCGTGAAAGAAAAGAGATGATAACTATAAACAAGGCGTCTGTTATGCAATTCTACTTGTGAAGAAGATTTAATTTGGTATTAATTCTGTTTTCGTCTTTTTTTTGAGTGGATGTTTATTACTACTAGGCAAAACAAACTAGTTTTAGATATAAGGATTCCTAATTTTTGGAGGTAAAAGACTATCTGAGGGCCAACATATGTGCGTGTGAGAAGTCTAAAACTGAAAGATAAGGAAAAAAAAAAAAAGTACATCATATGAATAATGATAAATAGAATTAAAATTTAAAATAAATGATAAAACATAAATCATGTTATATAAAATATTGCATTCCACGGCCGTGGTCCTAATAATCACTTGTTATTTTAAAGGATAACTCGTGGTTTGCACTTTTAAGTTTCGGGTTCAATACTTTCACTAACACCTCTAACGTATTAATTTTTAACCATTGTCTTTATAAAAAAAAAAAAGTTATATAAAATATTAAAAAATAAAATTTATATTATTTAATAATTAATTTTTTTATTTTTTAATATTCATAATATTATAAACATAAATTAATTTAATAATATAATTTATACCATTACCATACTATCAATTTTAAATTTATATCCCAAATTTCCATTTTCCTTAAATATAAGTACTTGCGTTGTATATCAAACAATAATAGATTCTCTCAAGTTATATCCAAAAATTAGTTGTGACATAAATGAAGAAATAAAATTCGACAATTATGTATTTTTGTCCAGACCCCGGAGATGTGTTACGAGGCCTATGTTAAATATACCATCAAGGCATCAAGGTCCAAAGCAGATGAAAATTTAAAATCCTGCCAGGCTCCACTGACTCTTTTTTATTAGCATCTGACCCACTTAATTTGATAGCCAACCAAGCTCAAAACTTTTTATGTTCTGAAATTTTTAAATTTTGAGTTTAATAATGAGAAATATTATTTATTTATTTATTTTTATAATAAAAAGTAAATTTTTTTAATTTTTTATCTTACTTCCCATATATGTTATGTAAATTTAATTTAGATTTTTTTATTTTTATTAAAAAAATTATTATTAAATTATTTAAAATAAAGTATTAATTTTATATCTTACATTTTTTTATCTTAATTACATAATGAAAAATAATTATTTTTTAGTTCTTGATTCATTTTATTCACATATATATTATTCGACTTAAAGTCAAAATTTTTTATTTTTAATAAAAAATTAATCATTAAATTATTTAAATAATTTGTCATATCTTACATTTTAATTAGCTTTATTCTACGATAAATAAATAAAATTCTCATTAGGTTATTGTCACCCACGAGCAAAACAACTCAACTTGTGTCGGTGTTTCCCCTTTTTTCTTGCCGAAAGTGTTTCACAAAGTCAAGGGAAAACCATATATCCGTACAATTTGCCGGAATTTTGTCGAACATGCCGGAGCTAACTTTTAGCTAAATTATGGGTCCCGCTGAAAATAATTACTTCAAATATACTTTTTTTTTGAACAATTTTGTCATGGGACATGGGGCGGGTTCAAAACCGCCCAAGAAAGAAGAATGTGCACTTTTCAGTGGCTCTAGTCATTGAGTCACACGGGCCAAGTGCACTCCAAATATACTTTTAATTTTATTTTTGTTATTAATTAATATATAGATAAAAAATGACTCGGGCAAAGGGGACCGCAGACGATGGAAATTAATTAAGCAGTTAATATCCACACATGCAATCTGCAAAAACTCATTAATTTCTAAAACCCCATCTACCTAGCTCTCTGTGGACTGTGGTTAACACACATGACAGTGTTGGGAATTCTATCTGATCAAGGTTCGGAGCCTTTTTTGCCACTGTTTTATATCTTCCTCCTACGGTGTCAACAATTTGCTTATTCAAGACAAACACTAACTTCAATAAATCAAGGCATATCTCAACAGACAGATCCATGGAGCTAGGCCTTCTTTATCTAGACAATCTCATTAAAGAGATAAAGAAAGAAGAAGAAAGATATTGGGTTTCAAAAAGGATAAAAGGAAATGGGAAAAAAGGAAGAAAGATATGGGATTTCAAACTTCTCAAGCATGCGTCGGTCCTTGTGGAAACAGAACTCATCAACTTTCAGTCTCATGGTGAAAAAGGTAATCGATCCTGCAACAGAAGAAAGAAAGTTTAGCAAACCGCACATGTGCCGGAAAGCAGGAAACAAATTGATCGAGATTTTTTTTTTTTTTTTTGCCCTTTGGAGAGGAGGGGGCGGAAACATAGAAATTAAAGAGAGACAAAAATGAAAGAAGAAAAATATTTAAAATAAGCTATCTATATATTCTGTGACAAAATTTTAGCTAGAACTAAACGTACGGTGGTCGGTGGAAGAATGGAAGTATATGCAGCGGAGATATATAGTAAGAAGAAGCCGTGAAACTCAGGATAGATACGCCATGCACCCTTAGCTTCTTCACTACTAATTAATTAAGTTGATGATGGCGCTATCCCTCCTGAGCTTTACAGATTCTCCCCTACTTTGGAGTAAGAGTGAGCTTTCCCACTTTGCTACTCACATATGCATAATGTGGGATGGGTGTGAGCGAGAAAGGAGGTTGGGTTAAGGTATTTATAGGGGGAGAAATTGGGGGTATACGTAAATTGAGTATTCTTCTTTTATTGGGGCTTGAATTAATTAACAATGTTCATCTTTCTTCAAGAAGATGGAATTGCAATATCCAAATTTTGGGGCACGCTTGTTTTTTATATGTGGGAGGACTTTTTTTTTTTAATGCACCATTTATTTTTTTTTAAATTTTTATTTCAATTTATAATTCAACAAATATTTTTCTATTTTAAGTTATATAATAAAAAATATTTTTTTCTCATCTCTTAATTTATTACATTAACATATTATGTAATCAAACTTAAAATCTCTTATTTTATTAAAAAATTATTATTAAAATATTTAAATAATTAATAACAATTAATTTTATTTTGTCTTAATTTCTACCCTTTCAAACTAATTAAGTTGTCTGCCTAGTAGTCAACAATTTAGTGATAAATTTTTTATTAAAAATAAGATATTATAAATTTAAATAATATAATATATAAGTGAAGTAGGGTGGGTATGAATAAATAGGAGATTATTATTTTTTATTATATAATCAAGATAAAAAAAACACTTGTTTAGTAGGAAGATTATACCTACAATATGCAAACTAACAAACAAGCATAATTCACTTAACATAATTGATTTTAAGAATCACGCAATAAGAAAATCAACGACTTATTGATTCAAATGAAAATAACTTGATTTTTTTAAATAAAAATTTTAATTTGAGTTTTATAAATAAAAAGATAAGTATTATGAAAGTGTCTCTTTATATAAAATCTGATATAACTCGATTTTATATTAATCGAGATTTAATATAATTATTCAAATGTAAAAAATTAATATAAAAAAAATAAAGGGATAAGAAGGAGGGAGCCTAATATTTTTCTTTTTAAAGAAAAAAAAGATACTAAGCAGGGAGGGATTTAATTTGGGAGTGGAACAATTCTCAACAATTGATCACAACATCAGACAAATTTCCGGGAATATAGATTTTGCACCGGGGCCTGGTCGATCCGCTGGTCGTTCCATGGCTATGCAAATTTCTCTAGATCTGACTTGAAGGGACGCCTCGGCACTTGTACCTCCCTCCCATCTATAGCCTATAGGGGTGAGGGGGTTTAAAGCTGTTCCGCGGACAGGCAGTGGTTCAGGCCCTCAGGACCATGAGCTGGTGGAGAATGGAGAGGTGCCAGGGCCAGGGCCATTGCCATTCTTTCTCCATCGAATCCCTTGAATTTCATTAAAAAAATCTGCATCAATGAATGCAATTTGCCACAGTTTCTGATTTCTGACTTTCCTCATTATTATAAATTCAGTTACTCGAATGAATTTTTCTCCATTGGGAAAAAACCAAAAACCTGGGTATTTTAGTCATATTCCTTTTCTTGGTCTTCCTTCTTCACTCCCTCACTCTGACTCTGACCCGAAAGCTTACTTCATCCCTGCCATGCTGTTAATCAATATAAAATTATATATATATA